CAGAAGAGTTAGAGCTTTATCTGTAGTGAAATTGGAAGACATAGGAATATTAAAAATTGGAGGGTGATAGAATGTGTTTTGCATTTTTAAAAGGGCATTTTGAAGGCTGTGTGGAAAATGGGTTTCAGAATAAAGAAGAATGAAAGCACAAAGGTCAGTTCAAAGACTATTTCAGAAGTCCGCATGAGTGAAGATGAGAGGTTGTTAAACTGATAACACTAACTATGGAGGAAGTTGCAGAATGGAGAAATTTTTTAGTGTTTGTAAATAAAGTGGACAGAAGGTGGATAAAAACAGGATAGAATCTGAAATCCACGTTATATCTCCAACTATATAAAATACATTTCTGACTCTGTACAGAGGACCTGAAACAGGATATTGAATTTCAAAAGACAAAATGAAGTTTGTTTGCCACAACAAAAGCTTTGGAAGGTCCCATTTGAGTTCTCCCTCATCCTCAACCCTCCTGCAGAGAACGCTACAGAAGCAACAGAAACTACAGAAGGTGTTGAATCCTTCTTCTGCAAGCTACTGTAAAGCTAGAAAGAGAGAATGAAGCCAAAGACCAGCAAAGAACATGCTCTTCCATGAGACCAGATTTCAAGCACGTGGCACAGGAATTAAAGGACATGACGGAACACATCTCACCGGGCTTGGTGAGAATGGCAGAGGCAGAGGCTCAACAGCCTGTTCCTCAAGCTGTCTCAGTCATAGGCTTCCTGCTTCAGACTTCTTGTCTTTTTAGAGATCTCTTTGATCATGATTATTCCTCAGTCTCATCTTCTGGCGTTTTGTAAAATGTGTAAGCTCTTTTATATGCTTTAAATAAATTGACTAGTACTTGTCAACCATGTTAGCTTTGTTGTCAACATTGTTCACAGGGAAATACCCAACTGATATATTAAAAAGCAAGAGTAGCTGGCACTCTAAAATAGAAAATCCAGTGATGAGAACAAAAAAATAGGACAAAATAAATATATAAGGAATATTAAGGGGCTATGGTCACCTGAAAACTTGAGATAATTCAGAAAAAAAAGGTGTACCGGGTCCAAAACTTATTAATTAAACCATACCGATTAAAATATTTGGGATTGACATACTAATAAAGGAATTAACCAGTGAGTTCATCAATGAGCAGATAAATGAAACAGACCAGGAGTACAGAAATGGAATCAACACATTTGGGAATTTGATGGTATCACGTTTCATATTAGATAAAAAATAGACTATTCTGTGAACAGGGTATAAAATTATCTTTCTCCAAAATTTAAATTAGATAAAATAAATAGATACATGACTCTATAGACAGATATGAATCTGAGGTGAATTAAAATTTAAAATACAAGAAAAATATGATACTCTAATGTTATTACTTTTTTTACTTATAGCTCAAATCTGTTCTACAGCATGACAATATAAACATAGTTAAATGACAAACCACAGAAACTTAGATGTTTATAAGTAAAATGTTTAAATGACAATTGCAGTATATAAAAATGTATTCATAAATAATAAAAATAAGCTAAATGTATTAACAGACATTTCTAAATAGAAGACACAAGAAGTTGCAAAGGCATTTGGCCTTACTTCTGTTTATGGAAACACAACATAAATAGGTTACCTATCTTGTTCTTATTATTCAGACATTGAATTATTAATTTTAACCTATTTGTAAGTAAAATTAATTAGCCCTATGTATGTTATATGTATGGTAAATTACTTTTCCTAAAGTATATGTGATTAATATTTGTCTGATGTTCCAAGATACCTCATCTGTTATTGTTCTTTACATCCCTTGGAAGAAAGCTCTATTGTATTGTCACCTTGGTGCATCTGTAACTTAAATAATAAACCTCACAGATCCACATCCCAGTTGGTTGCCTAGTACAATGGAGATATTGAGAGGTATACTTTTAATATATCCTATGATTTTCCAAAACCTTCAACATTTACTTAACCAGCTGGAGAAGTTTATCCGAGATTGGTTGTATTAGTCTATTTCCACACTACTATAAGGAAATTCCCACAACTGGGTAATTTATGAAGGAGAGAGGCTTAATTGACTCACAGTTCCACATGATGAGAAAGGCCTCAGGAAACTTAAAATCACAGAGAAAAGTGAAGGAGAAGCGAGAGCCTTCTTTACCTGGTGGCAGGAAAGAAGGATTATATGTAGGAGGAAATCTCAAACACTTAGAAAACCACCAGATCTCATGAGAACTCACTATCAGGAGAACAGCATGGGGTAAACAGCCTCCATGATCTAATCACCTCCCTCCAGGTTCTGCCCTTGACAAGTGGGGATTATGGGGATTACAGTTCAAGACGAGATGTGGGTGGAACACAGAACCAAACCGTATCATTGGTCTACTCCTTATACCAGAGTGCTTCAAGCTTTATTAGGAAAGAACCAAAATTACAAGGGACACCTTGTCTTACTTCAGTATCAGAGGTGATTGTTATATTAATAAAAGCTGTTTGTGTGTCAGTGATATACTAGCCCTGTATTGATGTATTTATTCTACAACATCGTGATAATTTTGAAAGATATCAGGTAGCCATTGACAAAATAAGAGAGATTTGGACTCTATTAAATAGTTTTCATATTATAAGAACAACTCAAATTTCCTTGTTATAAAGCATATGAGTCTTAGATAAAATATTTAGCATATTGAATAGTTTTTTTATTTATATATAATATACATACCATAAAAAACACTTATTGTTCTACACAATTCAATGATTTTTGATTATATTTACAGAATGTATCACAACAGTCTAATTTTAAAATATTTTCATCATCCTAGAAAGAAATGACATGCCCATTTGTAGTCCCTCCTCATGCTCACCACCAGCCATAGGCCACCAAAAATCTTTTGTCTTTATAGATTTTCCTTTTCTGAACATTTTGTGTAAATAAAATCTTACAAAATGTACAATATTGTTTTTTTTGTGTCTGGCTTCTTTCACTTAGTGTGATGTTTTTGAGGTTTACACTGTGAAAGGAAAAGAATAATCAGGACCCCAAAGTTACTAGGCCATAGGGAAGCTAGGGCACACCTGCCTCCAGCTTTACCCCTAAGTAAGATAGCTACAAACACAAAAAAGCCACATACCTTCCTCACAATTTGCCCACAAGGCAATTCTTCTTGGACAAAGAACACACAGAACTCAAAGTCTTCCCCCTGCTCACAGGAGACAAATGCATTATCTGATTGCTTCCTTTGCCCTATTGCTTCACTAACCCAGACTAAGTGACTATTTCTGTAAATTGCATAATCAGTGAAATGCTAATCAGAAACTCAAAAGAGTGCAACTATTTGTCATTTATCTACCTATGACCTAGAAGCCCCCTCCCCTCTTCAAGTTGTCCCACCTTTCATGACTGAACATCTGTCCATCTTAGTTATATTGATCCATGTCTCATGTTTCCCTAAAACGTATAAAACCAAGCTGTGCCTGGACCACCTTGGGCATATGTGGTCAGGATGTCCTGAGGCTGTGCTACAGTTGCATCCTTAACATTGGCCAAAATAATCTTTCTAAATTAACTGAGACCTGTCGTAGATATTTTGGGTTCCCAATACTTGAAACTTATGAAACAAAGAAACAAAGTAAACTACACTAAAATATTAGAGTCTTTGAAAGGCTCAAAGTAGAAAACATTTTATAATTAAGAAAAACAAAATTTATATTTTATTTTTTATGATGGAATTTTATGATTTCATGAGAACCCCAGTATAAAGAAGAGCATGCTGCTTTTATTTATCAACCTGGCAATCCATCCCACTCAGGAAATTATGTCATTTCCTTTAATGGAATATTTCCAAGGTCTAGAATCCACTAAGCATATTCGTTAGAAAAGTACAGGCATTTACAAAATAAAACTGGTAAATACTTTAGGATCAAATAACTTAAAAACTTATTGCACACTAAAATATCCAGGTTACATAACTTACATGGGAAGCAAAGAACAATTTCTACATCTACATAGTCTTGTAATACAGATGTTTGAAAGAGTGCTAAAAACTGTCAAAAATCTTCAAAATGCATCACTCTCCCAGTTTCTTTTTGGTATTTGTGTAGAAGAGTATAATTTTCTGTAATTTTTAACTGTTTCAGGATGAAGCTATTAAATATAAAACCCAAAATGCATTTGGGATGGTAAGAAAATGAAACACAGAAGATGTCTATGCTGGAGTCATTTACTCTTTTAAGATGTTCCCCAAGTTAACATCAATAGAATTTACTACAAAACGACCTTAGTTCCACTTCTTAGTTTCCCAGATATACATACTAAAATGCCTTAAGGCCAGGGTATTTCTGTTCTGCTTCCTGGCCATGCTCTGAGTGGTGCCAGCAATTGAGAAAGAATACCTGTGTAATGAGCCCAGGCAGGAGGGATAGACCTACTGGGAGAGCTCAGTCTTGTCAGATTCTTGTGTGAGAGCTACGCTAAGGAGAGCCAAGCCACTGCCCTTATGAGACCATGTGAACCTGGGCATGAAGCCAGTACTTCAAAGTGATTATTGCCTGAGGGTCCCTGGACAACCTTGACTAACTCAGTATTTCTCCTGTCTTCTTCTTGCCTGTAATTCTTAGAATAACTGTGGAATGTGCTGGTAATGCAATACCCTGATATAAGGTGAAATTGTCCCAAACAGTCCAAGCCTTCTTCCTGTTCCAGTTTAGAGGAAACATCCTGGGACAGCCCAAGCTTTGTTCTTCTCACCTCTGGAAGTAAGGTGGACAAAGCTTTGTGCAGTGAGTCCTGTGACGCCTGTGTTATATCAGCAGGCTGCCTTTCCAGTTTCCTCAGCTGTGGTGCAATTGGGTCATGCACAGCCAAAACAATCCATCCCAGGCAGCTTTTTTGAGCCTTGGGTGACCAGCCCACAGTGGAATGTAGGCTTTTTAAATTTTACCCCTTGATGCCTACCTGTAAGTAGTAAATCTGCTTTATATAACTTGTTTCATGTAAGTATGTTTTGTCTCATCAGACTTAGGCAATTGGTGAAACTACAGCCCAGGATGCAGTGGATAGAAGTGTTCTGACTCCTGTTCCTGGTGGTTGGCATGGTGATGATATTTGCTATCTTCCACACAGTGAGTTTCCTTTCTTAAAATTTTTTTTACTAGTGAATCTGCTTAACAGCTATGATGGATTGAAGGCCTGTAATCTGTACTCTTGTTTTCTGGTCCCAGCATTAAGATAGAAAAACATAAGGCATTTATAAAAAGAGTCAAGAACATGTAAAAATAAGTCAGAAAGAAGCACAATCAAATAAACATACAAGAACAAATTCAAATAGCATGCATTAATTTTAATTCATGAAATTTTCTGTGGAAAAATGTCAAATTGGTTTATTTTCTCAAATCAAAGTGTGATAGGCATTGTCTTAAATTAATTAAAATTGTTTTTTGTTATGATTCAAGCAAAAGTTAATGCAAAAGCATAAAATCATATAATTACCGTTGTCAATTGTCAACCCAAGATTCCTGAAGATAAGGATTGTTTCTGTAAGCCAGTTATAATAATATACGCCATTATAGGAATTTAGCATCTATTAGGTAAAAAATTCCGTAGTCTATTGTTATTTTTGAAAGATCAGGTTTTTATCTCACTTTGAGAAATGTGGACATTTGCCTCTACAAATTGCCAAATATATTTAAGCAATGACTGTGCTACTTGGACAAAAGAGAACTCACTGCATCTGTGTTAATAACTACCAATGGAAAATGTGCTAGTTCTACTGAAAAATCTTGTTAATAAAATCTGAAGAACATGAGCCAAAAGTTAAAAACTTTTTCTTCAGGTAATAGGAGGTGACAGGGGCAAACATATATGGCATATGACTAGCATGTTTCAAACTATGAAAGAAACTATAAATAAGGAAAACAAATCATAAGAAAAAGTTGTAAATGTATCAATCTCTTTCATACATTTTGTTTCTCGGAAGGAAAAGAAGCAAGCAAATTAGTCATTTAGATGGCTAATTAAAATTTTGATTTTAATTGTAGTTACCCATTCTTCTTTCGGAACATATTTATGAGGGCCATTTATGCAGCATGGTAGTTCAACGTTACAATACAAAACTCTACATGTTCAAGGAACTTACACACTGGCACGAGAGATAGGCAAAACCATCATAAAATGTTAGTATAGAAAGTAGTGAAATAAAATACTGTGTAGAAGACTAAAAACAAAAGTGTCATACTATTGGAGAAGGTATAGTTTAGGGCTGATTTCTAAAATAAAAACTTTGGTAAGTTTGAAATAATTAAATGTATTCAATCTAGAGCAATGATAGATTTTGTGTTTTCTGATTTTGTGTTAAAATACTCCTTGTCTCATGTAATTAGGTTAATTATGAATGATGACATTTTAATACACTTACCTGGAGCAATAAAAGGTTGGCAGCCTTCTTTCATTCCCTTTCCTGGGAAATACTGTTTTGGCATAGAGACTGTGCCAGCTAATACCAAAACTCGTCTTTTCCCAGGAAACTCAATGTATGCAAGTACCTGTGTGAAAGGATCTTTGAGTTTGAGTTGAAGAATAAATTATTAAAACTTTAACCTTCTAAGAGTTAAGAAGCTTCGTAGAGGGTAATGTTTGCCCAGGATCTCAGTGCTTAGCAAACACAGCAGGATGCCTAGACTCAATTCAAAGGCATCACAAAAAGAATCTTTGGTATCAAGGACCATCATTATTCCCCTTTTACCACCATTGGGACAGCTTGGAAAACAATGATGGCATAGATTATCATCCTCAAAGCTCACCCCAGTGGAGACAAAATGGCTTAGAAGCATGTGTACCGTCCTGGCTCTGTTGAGTCCAATTTATGACAATATGCAAATAGGCTTGTGTTTTCAGAAATATAAGGTACATTTTACAAAATTCAAGCCAATATACTACAAAAAGAAAGAAGACAGGATCTGGAAGGCATATCATTGGGTATTCTAGAGGAACTGGGAAATTGGAATTAATGTCAATATAACTGTATAACTGGATTTCTTACTGCTATAGATTGTTTACATATTTTTTATTCAATTCTTTCCGCTAATAACCTTGCCTTCTTCTTGTTGAGAAAATAGAAGCCACATTTAGAAAATACTTTAATCTGAAAATTCTAGAATTTATGGACCTACCTTGATTTCAACCTTTGCCTTCTACTTTCTCTCCTGTTACAAAAGAGGTTGTTGCTTCAATCAAACACATATCACCCTCTCCTTACCTCACCCCTACCTGGAACTCAGGATCCTACTTACCCATGATTACTTAAGGATTTCACTTTTATTACATTCCATTTACATCTATCTTAGGGGTGTGTGTGTGTGTGTGTGTGTGTGTGTGTGTGTGTGTGTGTGTTTCAGTTCTTAAGTCAATCATTCCCCTTAAAAACACTCTCTAGTATCTCTAGCATTATAAAAATAAAATAAAATGAAAAAAAAAACTATAATTCAAATCTTCCTGCTTCTCTGATTCTCTGCACAAAATAACTTACCAAGTGGGCTGCTTGTACATCCCCTAGTTTCAACCCAATCTACTAGAGCAAAGCTTTGGCCCTATTTTGCTGAAACTGCTCTTTTATAGATCATTGATAACTAGTGTGAATATGCTTCCCAGTTTTCATGGGAGAGTCTTGGTTTACCCCTGTTGCACTAGCTATTGATTCATTTTTCGCTCTCAAAGTTTCTAAGATACACAATAAATTATATATGTTACTCCACCAATGGCATCCTTATCATCACATAGAGTTTAATTTGGATCATAAATCAGTAGCAACCTGCAAATATAATCTATCTCATGTTCTTTAAAAATTTTCTTTTGTTTCTGTGACGTTACATTCTTCTGATGGATCAGAAGAAGTAGTAATGCTTACTAAATTTTCCAAGTACTTCATTACATTTCCAGAACATTTTCATATGTAACAGATTCTAGCCAATAAAATGTGGAAAGAATATGAGTCTCTTATATGCTCAGTGAAAAGTCATATAATATGATTCTCTATTATTTTTAATAGGAAGTTGAATGTTCCAAATAGTGCATCTATGAGATTTTTAGCATCTACCAGTCTAGTCCCTGTATGATTTTATACTTCATAGTCCCCATTGACCCTGCTGAGGCAGAAACCATGAGTGAGAAACAAACTTTTGTAATATCGAACCCTGAAATATTAGAGTCCTTTGTTCCAGAAATATATCCTACCCTGTCCTGAATAATATACTTACCTTAAATATTTTCTCATTCTCCATTTTCATCCTGGCTCTGAGGCCTTTACCTGACTTTAAATACATCATATTAGCATATTAAAGGAAGCTATTTTCTTTTAACATTTATTATTGCTTATCTATTTGTTTTTTGAGTGATTCCTTAACCCCTCAATAGAATGCAAGCTTCCTAAGAGTTTGAAACATATTTGCATTGTTTACCACTGTTATCACTAACCTTAGAATATTGCCTACCATGAAGTAGTTATTCTTATTTTCAACTAGATGAAAGTACACTGTGGATGGAAAATTGAGACATGTAACACATCAAATTTAGAATATTTCTATTTTGGCTACTACTTGTATTTTTAAAAATTCTTGAAAATATCCCAGCCCTTGAAATTATGATTAATGGGCCAATTGTTTTCAGTTAAGAAATGTTTCATTTTAATGTGAATCAATGTAGATAATTATTCAGTTCCATTTGTCTTAATCCATATTTCAGGAATATGAGTTAACAGTGTTTATATGAAGCTATCTTCAACATATATTGTCTGAGTTGCAAAATGTCTGAAAATGTATTTATCCTCTGTCACAATATGGACACCTTGACTAAATTTAATATGTCTAAGTCACACTCTTCTTTTTCAAATTGTTGCACTTGTACTATCAGTGTTTGTTATTTTGCATTAGTATAGAAAATAATGAGACCAATATGATTTTTATTCTCCTAAAGTAACCTCATATTTTTAATATTCTTACTTAAAATATATTTTATGTGTAACTTTCAAAAATTAAAAAATATTTTTATCTAAATATGAATTCTTTTCATTAAGTTTGAGAGATGAATGTAAATGCCCAATAATAAGAATAGGCTGTTTTTTTAATAAAAAAATATTTTTTAATATATTGTATCTTTTATGTGCCTTCTAATCTGTTCTCAACTTGAAAATTATTATTATATGTGGGTCTAATCTTCATTTTTCTTAACATTTTTAATATTTTATATTTCTGTCATATTCATTTATGTGTATGGGGGAGTCTTTTTTGTGGGGGGGGTGGGAAGTATCCTCAGTCCTTGATTCACTTGTTTTATTTCCAACAGCCATTCATTTTCCTAAATGTATTGATCTTAAGTCAATAATTACATTGTTTAATACAAAACCTTCAATTTTATATTTGTTTTTAACTTTGAAAATTTAAACTTTTGTTATAATTTACAGATATAAGACTGCCTTGCAATTTTTAAAAGATAAATGAGGTATCCTAAAATGTTACAAATTTTTAGCCAGTAAATTTAGGAAAGACAGTGCTTCAGTTATTCAGAAAATGTTAGTCATCTCCTTTTCTACCACAGATTATTTTCATACATACTTAATGTTCATATTTTTTCTCCTCAGTGCAAGAAAAGAACTTCACTTAGATGGGGTTAACATAGAGTTTTTAGAAATTGATTCCTGTTTTTTCTATGTATGCTTGTACCTGTGTCTGTCTTCAAGATACATGATAAAAATGTCAGGAATGGAGATGGCAATTAAAAAAACAAAACAACAAAGGCAAGACACACACATACAAAGTAGTTTGTAACTGCAGAGTTTCATCAGTGTTGTGTGGAAATAACACTGCCGTAGTATTAGTAGTATGCAATATTTTGTTTGTTCTGTTTTTCTTTCTGCTTATTTTCGCAGATATTCAGAATCCAGTGCCTCTTTGCCATATCTGATTTTCTGGTTGGTGGGGCCATTTACAAAGAAATATATTTCAAGGCCTCAGAGTATTATGTTTTCTGTACAAAGAGACAAATGATAGAAGGTTTCAGTGTGTGCTTATCTACAGTTCTTATTTTACAACTTTAATCTGTCAACTAAAAATTAATAGGACTATAGATTCTCTGCCTCATCTCCAGGCAGGCAGCCGTCTTTAAAAAAGTTGATTATCAGACCTCAGGAACTTTGGTTTTTCAGCCTTTGTCTAATATTAGAGATTCTTCCCAGATTTTAGCTGAGAAACATTTTCTTAGTCTATTTTTTTCTATTTATATGTTAAATGTTTATATTAAGAGCAATGGTTTACATCCTATTTTACTCCAAAAGACAACATAATTTTCCTTATTTGCAAGCAAGGTCATGACAGTTTTCAATATCTTATCACTGCCTTCTCTGAATATCTACCCTATTTTAAGAAGCTGTTTGATTATCACACTTCCATATCTCACTTTAATCCATCTTTTTCATATGCATTGGTCACTCCGCTTCTCTGTCTTCCTCAATGTAAATTCTTGTGGGTTCTAGTGGGTTAGTCTCTATTTTGTGGAGGAATTAAATTTGGAGGAATATTGGGATCTTCCCAGGTCAGGGAACACTGACAAACATATAAGCAGTGGAATTTGTAGTGAGTTAGACTTTCAGGAGAGCCTGGCTTGTGCTTTGAAGTACTCTATT